AACTCAAATATAGATGGCTGCTGATAGGTGTATCCTATGGGGACAGGGTAAAGGAAGAATTAGAAAGACAAAAGGGCAGCAGAGAGCTGAGTTTAAAAACTAAAAAACTAAAAATAAAAAAAATAAAGAGAGAGATGGAAAGAGAGTAATTAGGATGCTCTAACCTAATTGGGGAGTAGGAGGGTGAAGTCTGGGCAGAGGGTCTTCGGTGGTCTAAATCCAAATCTACCATCTTAACAAATGTTAGAGTGCACAATGTCGTGCATAACTGAAACTGTATACCCATTGGATAGTAGATCAAGTAAAGAAATATTTGATATATGCCACAAGACCTACAGGATAGGCAAAAACCTACTTTGTGCATCAGAAATTTTGTTTTGCTTCTGAGTTTCAGTCATAAATTAAGTTCACTTCCTTAGACCACAGTGCTAATCCATAAAACTAACTGGCTGCAGAACTAAGTATTCCGTAAACCTATAGACTTTAAGATTCATGGACACAGAAAGACATATAGCATCCCAGAATTCCTTCGGGTGCTCTTGGATCATAATTGCCACTCAGTAGAGCTTTGCAGTGAGGTCCAGGTAAAGAATGTTAAGCTAAAAAATTTCATACTTCTTGAATTGTGGGAAATGGAAATGAAGTGTTAAAGAACTTTAGAAAAGAGAAAGATGATTATTATTAATAAGTTCAGTTTTAAAATCTTCAGCAGAGCAAACGGCATGGACTTGATGTTGTACAAAACAGGTACTGAGTATAAATCAGAATGTTCATTTGTGAGAATTTTACTTAAATCAAAATTGAAAATATACTCACCTGAAAAACAAACAGTAAGTGCAGGATTGAAGTAAAATAACACTCCATCTACCCAAGGGCCTATAAACAAAATAGAACTTGCATGAACATATACATTATGCATTCAGAAGAAGTTGCATAGAACCTCAGATAAACTCTAATCATATTTTGGAATTTTGGAAGTAGTAAGAGTGTCCATACAAACTTATAATCTTTATCTTCCATTGTGTTGTTTTCTCTCAGGCTTAGGGAAGATCCTGTGCATGTGTGTGTGTGAGAGAGAGTGCAACAGAGAAAGAGAGAGCCAGGGAGAGAGAGAGACAGAGTCAGAGAGAGATCTCTTAATATCCTGAGGGGCCGAGAATGGGACAGTTCTGCTTAAAGCTACTTCTCTTGTGAATGGCAGGAGGCAGCAGGCACAGGAGGACTGATCACATTCATGCTATATTCGTAGACAGAATGCCTTCATATAACATGGAGAAGTACTTACAATCAGGATTTAATGAATATTTTATTTTTAATATTAATTATGTTCTAATTTCTAATTCCCATTTGATAGCTGTACAAATTTGAAAGGGTACAGTGTGTTTTTCAAAGCATGCATACAATGTGTGCTGATTAAATCAGTGTAAAACACTTCCACCATCTTTTTTATCGTAACTTTGTGTTGTGAGCATTCAATATCCACTCTTATGATTATTTTGAAATATATGTATAAAATGTATGATATGTATTTATTAAAATGGTTATATAAAAGTTAAAGAAAATAAAAAATAAATTCTATTTACCTGAGAAATATATTTGCCTACAATTTAAATTTCTTAACAGTTAGGATAAAGGTATTACTGCTATATCTTTTTTCAAGTAGACCTTACAAATATTTTCATTATTGTCATTTTTTAAGTGGGTTTTTCTTTTTTGGGAGGGTATTTATTATTTATTGAATGTCAGTGCTTGGGTTTATTCAGGCTTTCTATGTCCTCCTGAGTCAATCTTGGTAGATTATATGTGTCCAAGAATTTGTCCATCTCATCCAGGTTTTCTTGTTTGTTGGCGTGTAGTCACTCATAGTATCCTCTAATGATGTTTTGTATTTCTATTATGTCCGTTGTAGTATTTCTTTTTTCATTATGAATTTGATTTATCTGGTTCCTTTCTCTCTTCTTCTTGATTAGTCTAGGTACTGGTGTCTCAGTTTTGTTTACCTTTTTAAAGAGTCACCTTTTGCTTTCATTTATTTTCTGTATAGTTCATTTATTTTCTCTTTCATTTATTTCTGTTTGAATCTTTATTATTTCTTTTCTCTTGGCTTTTTTTTTAAATTTTTTTGTTGTTGTTTCCCAATTCCCTGAGGCATGATGTTAGGTTGTCCACCTTTCTATCTTTTTCTTATGCACACTAATTGCTATGAACTTCCTTCTTAGAACTGCTTTTGCAGTGTCCCATAGAATGTGGAAAGTTGCATACTAATTATCATTTGTTTTCATGACTCTTTTGATTTTAGTCTTAATATCTTCGGTAGCTGTGATTTCATTCAGGAGCAGGTTATTTAGTTTCCGTGTATTTATGTATTTTTGTGTTTTTTTTCCTGAAATTGACATGAAGTTTAATTCCATCATGGTTGGAGAAGATGCTGGATATAGTTTATGTGCCTTTGAATCAGTATAGGCTTATTTTGTGCCCTATCATGTGGTCAGCCTTCTAGAAGGTACCATGCAGGGGTGAGAAAAGTGTATATTCTGTGTGGTTTTTGGGTGGAAAGTTCTATAGACATTTGTCAAGTTCATATGATTTATGGCTTAGGTCCTGAATCTATTTGCTTACTTTCTGTCTGGTTGATCCGTCTAAAGGAGATAATGCATTATTGAGCTCCCCAACAATTGGTGTGTTGCCGTCTATCTCTCCTTTAAGATCTAGCAGTTTTTCCTTCATATATTTGCATGCTCCTGAGTTGGGTGCACAGATATATATGTCTTATATCTTGATGAATTAGCCCTTTTACTATTATATAATGCCCTTTTTTCGTCTCCTTTTACAGTTTTTGTCTTAAAGCCTATTTTGTTTGAAATCAGTATCACAACTCCTGCCCTTTTTTGACTTCCATTTGCATGGGATATCTTTTCCCAGCCTTTCAATTGTAGTCTGTGTATGTCTGTGTATCTCTATGAGGTAGGTTTCCCATGGGCAACAGCTGGAAGGTTTCTGTTTTTTATCCATTCAGCCAGTCTGTCTCTTGATTGAAGAATTTAATCCATTAATATTCAATGCTCTTATTGATATTTATGGACTTGTCCCTACCCTTAAATTGGCCATTTTCTTGTTTTTTTTTTTTTTTTTTTTTTTTTTTTTCTCTTATTTCTATGTGTCTGCCTTTAGTATTCTAGGTTTTGTTTATCTGAGAATGTTTTTTACCTTGTTTTCCCACATGAAGCATAATCTTGCTGGGTATAGTAATCTTGGTTGAAATTGTTTTTCATTTAACACTTTGAATATATTTCCCCATTCTTTCCTAGCTTGCATTGTTTCCAATGAGAGGTCTGTTGTTAGCCTGATGGGATAACCTTTGTAAGTAACTTGATGTTTCTCTCTTGCCAATTTCAGTATCTTGTCTTTGTCTTTAGTTTTGGCCTATCTGTTTATAATGTGCCATGAAGAAGATCTTATTGGATTGATTTTATTTGGGGTCCTTTGTATTTCTTGGGTCTGGATGATTGAATGCTTGTCGAGGCTTGGAAAGTTTTCTTCCAGGGTTTCATGGAATAGATTTGCAATGACCTTATTAGTTTCTTCACCTTCCAGGATACCAGTTATTTAGATGTTTGGATATTTAATGGACTCTATTATTTCTTGTATATTATATATATATTTTTTTATATTTTCTCTATCTTTTTGGTGTTTTTTCCCTAGGTGAGAGGTTTGGACTTCTACATAAGAGATTTGATCTTCCGCATAATCAAATCTGCTTTTAATTCTTTCAGGGGAGGTTTTGCTTTACTGTATAACAGGCTTAATTTCTAACAGTTTTTTTTTTTAATTCTTTTTTTATGGTGTCTCTTTCTTCCTTCAAGTCGTGGGAGGGCTTCCTCATCTCCTGCAGCTCATTGTCTTTTGTCTCTTGCAACGTCTGGAGCTTATTGTCTCTTTTCTCTTGCATCTTGCTCAGGTTTGTCACTATGAATATTCTAAATTGTTTATCCTATTTATCCACAAGTTCCATTGTACTGTCTGTGGATGAGAGGAATGTTTCTTTCCCTTGGAGGAGAGACATTTTCTTAGTTTCTCATATTTCTTGTGCCTCTGTGGTGGTCTCTGGTCATCTGATGGATTGTACATTTATCCTAATTTCTTAGAGTTAATTTTGAGTGTCCAAAGGCATGTAGGAGGATGTGATATGTGATCTCTTTGTAGCCCCATCTCCCTGAGGCTCACCCTATAACCTGCCTTTTATATCTGGGATTGGATGTTCCAAATGCCTCCCAGATTCTATAGAGAGGTTGAGCTGCAGAGTTTCAACAGAGAAAGTATGGGAACACAGCCCACGCTTCATAAAACTATGAAGTCTCTAGTGAGCAGGAGAGAGTGAGGCTCAAAGGTGGTCTCCGGCCTTGCTTCCTCACTTCTGTTGCACAAGAGCTGGGAAGAATGGCAGGTCAAAAGTCGGAAGCAAGAGGGGCTGGCAACTGGAGTGGACAAAGAGTGCGGAGGTTCCAAGGTGGTCTCTAGTCCTGGTTTTCTCACTTACTTCTGCCACAATGAAGCTGGGAAAATGGTGGGGTGGAAGTTGGAACCAAGAGGCACTGGCACTTGAAGCAGACCAGGAGAGTGCACAGGATCCAAGGTGGTCTTGGGCCTCGATTCTGTCCCTCTTCCTAACTCACTCCTAATGCACAGCAGCCAGATCCTTTTCATGTACAAGCATATCAGTGTTAAAATGATCAAAGTACAAGAATAGGCGAAGGAAGAATGGGTGATACAAATAACAAGTGTTGTGGAGATTTCCTTGTTTGAGTAGGGTCTTGCCAAGACAGTGGGTGTGGTTGGTGTCTCTGCCAACACGATGCTAAGGAAAGAGCCCTGGTCTCTGCCCCATGCGGAGGGGAGAGGCAGGGAGCCTAGCACATGGGGAGCGGCAGTGGGTTCCAGCTGTTGACCGCATTGCCTTCTTCCCCCAGAGTATTAGCATTTGAATACCTACACTGAGAAAGATGGAGGAAACCCACAACAGCACTCAACAGGGATTTCTGCTCCTGGGCTTTTCAGACCAGCCCCAGCTGGAGCGGTTTCTCTTTGTCGTCATCTTGCACTTTTATATCCTTGGCCTTCTGGGGAACTCCGCCATTGTGCTGGTGTCTTGCCGGGACCCCAAACTCCGCACCCCGATGTATTTCTTCCTCCGGAACCTCTCCTGTGTGGACATCTGCTTCACCACCAGTGTGGCTCCACAGCTGCTGGTGACCATGAACAAGAGGGACAAGACCCTGAGCTATGGGGGCTGTGTGGCCCAGCTGTATGTGGCCATGGGCTTGGGCTCCTCTGAGTGCATCCTCCTGGCAGTCATGGCATATGACCGCTACGCGGCCGTGTGCCAGCCGTTGCACTACACAGCAGTCATGCACCCACGGCTCTGCACATCCCTGGCCAGTGGGGCATGGCTCAGCGGCCTCCTCACCTCCCTGGTCCAGTGCTCGCTCACGGTGCAGCTGCCTCTCTGTGGTCATCGCAGACTGGACCACATTTTCTGTGAGGTTCCAGTGCTCATCAAACTGGCCTGTGTGGACACGACCTTCAATGAGGCAGAACTCTTTGTGGCCAGTGTCGTCTTCCTAGTCATCCCTGTGTCACTCATCTTGATCTCCTACGGCTTCATAACCCAAGCTGTGCTGAGGATCAGGTCGGCCGCAGGGCGCAGGAAGGCCTTTGGGACGTGCTCCTCGCACCTGCTCGTCGTCGTCATATTCTATGGGACCATTATCTTCATGTATCTTCAACCAGCAAAAAGTAGCTCCAAAGACCAGGGCAAGTTTGTATCTCTTTTTTACACGGTTGTCACCCCACTTCTAAACCCCATTATCTACACTCTGAGGAACAAAGACGTACAAGGAGCCCTGAGGGCGATGGTCCTGGGAAAGGCTGCAGGTCAGGCCAGCCGGGAGCTGTAGCTGTCCTTCAGGGCTGTGTCCGCTCAGGTGTGCGTGTCTTGTAGCTGCCACAAAGATTAGGAACAGACTGGAACGCTCGCTTTAAGAAATCAACTATTCAAGCCACTATGGAGCTTCATTCTCCCAAAATTCTTCTCACAGATCCTATGATTCTTACTTAAAAAGAAAGTTCCTGGGGGCACACGTGCTCAGCAGAGAGACAGAGAGGGAGCGAAGGGAAGGAAGAGCGCTGTGCAGTGAGGTGTGGTCACCCTGAAACCCTTTATCTGCAGTTTCTGCCTCCTGTTGGAATTTAGGCTCACACATATGCCCAGTGCTTTTCAATCCACTGGGACTGGGATTTGAACTGTGGTTGGCTTTGTGGGGCTTGTTTCCTCAACCATTAGGTCACAGGACTGGCTCAAAGATTTTAATGCTTTGTCTATAGAAAATGCTTTGCTTTTCTTCAGTCATGCCATCAAGTTTCATGCAGCCATGAGTTCTACCTAGTGTGCAGGTCCACTTTTCAATTTCTACTTATCCCCAAAATGTCCACCTACATGCTTCACTGTCTGGAGACACCAACTTTCTCACCCTCTGGGCATAAGTAATTGCTTCATAATAGATGTTCCCTTACCACATAATGCATAAGACTATTTCTACATTTTTGTTACAGATAAGGGGACTTTGTGGGTTTGTTGAAAACAGTGGAATTAAGGTACACATTTATTTTGGTGCAAAAAATTTAAAATCCGTGTGTAGTTTTTTAACATATGCATTTTCATTTGCTTTCTGAAGACCATCATATATGTATGTAGAGGAAGCAGTATATGTAACAGATGGTGAGATAACATACAACCATGTTCCTAATGTCGACAGAGATAACCAACTCTGCAAAAATAATAACTAATGTGTTTCACTTCTAAGCATGCTTTTGAGTGACCTAGACCTGGAGAGGACACAAAACATGACTTTCTCAGGGTGATCAGATACAAGGGTTCTTTTTATTTGACTTTGAGAGCAAGAGACAAAGTTTGGAATTTAGTGAAGCGCTTTTCCATTGGTCTGGCCCAAACGGTGGGACATAAAGGAAGCGGGGTTTAGTTATAGGCAAGTTTTGCAGTTTTTAGGTTGGTGAGTGGAAAAGGAAGGTGGCCTAGAGGAGAAAGGGATTTACTTTCGCAGAGATAAGGAGGTGTAGTGTACATCGCGGAGATACTTCACCCGGGACAGGATGTAGGAAGACTCCTGTTACCAGTGGGTCAAAATGGCCTGTTAATGTTTGTGGTGTGACTCCCTTCAGGCCCTGGAAAGGATTGTGAAAATAGGAAAAAGCACAGCTCCTTATCAGGAGCTGAATGTCTGTCGTGTGCTCTCTTTGTCACTGGATAAATGATTGGAAGATCATAAGACATCTGTGCACAGAAAAATGCATCATGACTTTTCCAGCGACCCAACATCTTAGCCTACATGTTATCATCTTGACAACAAGAAACTTAACTCTAATAATCTCATCACATGCTTTTAAAACAGCATATAGTTTACATACAGTTACCATTTATTGTTTATTAAAAAGTTATTGAATCACTATTTTCTTTGAATTATAGACAATTTAGAATTGACATGCAAGACAGATTTATAGAGACATAAACATTTTGTTTATTTTTCTTGTGAATATCTGAGGCCCTAGCTCAGTGGAAGTTTTAGCAAGGTGATTGATTTTGCTTTAAATGTCTGCCTTAATTTGTACCAGGAATTGACAGTTGGGATTTATTCATGTTTTCCTGATTTTTATCTCATCATCATTTTAACCTCTTTTTTATCAGGAGCCTGAGCACAGGTTTATGAGGAAGCTGGGGCTTTAAACGTAAATATGTATGTGTATATATGTATATGTATGTTTGTACAAATCTCCATGATGTTTGCCAGG